CCACCTGTGTGGTAGGAATACATACCTTCCCTCTATTATTCTGGGTATTTTCTTGAAACCTATGCTATTTCACTAAATGAGTTGATCCATCATTGTTCAGTGTAAGTCTATATTGTTCAATGTAAGCTCTAAAACATAATTAGCAACAACAACAAACGGAAAATATACTAGGCAAGTTGCTAAGAGTTAAAGGACACGATGGAATTTCCTTTAAAACAATGAGGTGGTTCTGCCTTAGAGAACAAATGAAAGAATGAATAAGATGAGATTTTGAAATCCTTCAACTATGTCTTCCAGGCTCATTGAGGTCCATATTAGGAAGCTCTAAAGATTCTAAATATGTCCACTACTTCATCCTGCTGATTTCTTTCTGTCTTTGTCCAAAGGGGAAAATAAACCCATGGAGTTACATTAATGAAATGTTTAAGACTGCTTACAAAGAACAGACAGGACAGTCTTTCTAAAAGCTGATCCCCTACCAGTGGGATGGCAGGATTTCACTACAAGTGCCTTTAGATTGGGAGTCAAGGCTTCCATGGTGCCAGGCACTGTGCTCAGTGTTTTAAATAAATAAATTCATTTGATCCTCATAACACTCCTATGGACTTCTTTGGTGGCGCAGTTGGTAAAGAACCCTCCTGCAATGCAGGAAATTGCCTGTAATGCAGGAGACTCAGGTTTGATCCTTGGGTCAGGAACATCCTCTAGAGAGGGGAATGGCAATCCACTCCAGCTTTCTTGCCTGGGAAAGTGTATGGAGTGAGAAGCCTGGTGGGCTACAGTCCATGGGTTCGCAAAGACTCAGACATGAGTGAGCGACTAAACAATCACCACCAACACTCCTATGAGGCTGGCATTGAGAAGCTCAGAGTCTGTCCAAAGACACACAGCTTCGAAGTGATAAAGGTCGCATGAAACCTGGATTGGGATGACTCCAGAAGTCTCTCTTTCAAAGAGCCCTACCTTCTGATCTGTTACTAGGCTTTTACTGTTTCCCTGGGGAAAGTCACTATCCAGTTGGAACCTCAGTTTCATCAACTATTCAATGCAGAGTGAGGACACAGAGGCTCAGAGAACTTGACCTCTGGGATCCCTGCTCAGTCAGAGACCATTGCTGATAAAGATGACAGAAATTTTAGGGAAGACTTGGGGATGCAGTCTCTGTTGACATTGCACTCATCTTGAAAAAAAAAAAAAGAGTAATGCGTCACACAGGCGTCCGTAGGGCTTTTGGGCGGGGCTACTAATGAGTGTGATATTCAAGTGACTGTTAATAACTCTGGTTAGTGGGTAGGACCTGTGCAGTGATAGGTGGGCAGTCAGGAATCTCTTGAGCACCAGGAGCCACGGGAGTACATGGTCTTCCTGTGACCCCTAAATTCCCAGTCCCCGGGCAAACACCTTTTGCCTTCACTTCATTGTATCAGAAACACAGACTTTCAGGCTCCACTGGCAGAGCAGCAGTCTGAATGAGTGGGGGTGGGGAGAGACAGGCTAGGGCCCAAAAAAGGAACTGTGGCCACTGCCAAACTTCTCCACCATTCTCTCCAGTCACGGAAGATGCAAAGTGCAAATATTTGAAGATCAGCTACGATGTAGAGGCGCAACCTCTGAGCAGAAGGAAAAGCAAACAAACAAAACAAAACAAAAAAATGAGAGAAGGCAAACGTTCAAGACTAGCTAACTTTTCACGGGGAAAATCACCTCACTTGTCTTTGCCACGTTTGGTCACAGAGGAAAGGGTCCTCAGACACCACTCTCATTTCCTGGGTCAATATGTCACAATGAATTAACCTAACCGCAGGCAGCTAGGGCACAGGACCACACGATGAGTATCAATTTCCACGCCCCCCCCCCCACCCCCGACCCACAGTTCACTGAACTCAAACATCAACCCCAGAAATGCTGCTTTTTACAAGGGAAAGGCATGCTTCAGGCCAACCTTTCCATTCTGTTTCTGTTCAGTGTTTCAACCACAGCGTGGTGCTGTTGCAAAAGACAAGGGTGGGCGGCAGGCTAGCTCCAGAAATTTGCTTTAGGAACTGAGTTTTCAAACAGGTCTCCAAACAGATCCAGTCCCCTGCTCACACAAACCTACAAGCCACTTTCAGGAGGAGGGTCTTCCAAATGCAGTCAGGAGAAAAAGAAAGCTCAGCAACCTAAAAATACAGCTAACAGATGGACACCAAGGTCAAGACTGCGACAGGGGCTCCACTTCGAGAAAGAGATCCAAAAAGACCTAGTCTGAATGGACTCCGGCTAGACCCAGTGCTGCATGGGGACAGGAACTGCCCAGCTTACCTCCCAGCTCTGTTCTTTGCTTTAACAGTCTGCAACCACTCAGATCAGTCTCTACTCCGAAAAATGGATTTGCTCAGAAGTCACAATGTACCACAGTTCTGAGTCCGTAAGATATGCGACAGTCTTTTAGTTTATCTTTAAAGAAATATACCTTTGTACTTCTTTTTCTGGCCACTCTGTTTCCTGGTTACCTTGTCCCTCTCTTGGGAGTCAGAGGGAAGACTCCATCACCGGTATTTGGAGCGGAAAAGAGAACAAATAGCTCTCAAGTGGAAAGTACAGCAGTCAAGGAAAAGGCAGCTTGCTGGCTCAGGGGAGATTGTCTGAAAGGGGCCTTCCGCAAAGGAAAGGGCCAGGGGTCCTGCATCTGAGAGACAGTAAGCAATGGCTCAGTGGTAAAGAATCCCGCCTGCCAATGCAGGAGAGGTAGGTTGGATACCTGGATGGGGGAAGATGCCCTGGAGAAGGAAATGACAACCCATTCCACTACTCTTGCCTGGAGAGTCCCATGGACAGAGCAGCCTGGTGGGCTCCATACAGTCCATGGGGTCGCAAAGGGAGTGAGACCCGACTTAGCGACTGAAGAACAGCAGCAAAGTGCATCCTTCTTACCCAGCCTCTGCCTGCTTCCGTCCTCTTCCTCTCTCCTCCCTCGGTCCCTCCCTCCCTTCCTGCCCCCTCCTCCCCAAGGCACCACGCATATTTGGCAAGATTAAGGTGTCACCTCTCATATTACAAGGCGTGTTGATTGCAGGCAAAGACAGACCCACCAGCTCAGGACAAAACCCCCCTCGAGTTGGGAAAAGACACAAACTTTTCCCGAGGTCGCCTAGGTCCTGGCAAAACGAGGCAGTCAGCCAGCGCCGGGCATCTGCAGAACAAATCGGTTTTAAACTCACGCTGCCTAGTCTTTTTCAGGGGGAGGGCAGGGGGGCGGGCCAGAGCCGAGCGAGAAAACCGGGACCCGGCAGCGCACGCCCAGTGCAAACCTTCATGGTGCCGCGCGCCGGCTGGAGGGGACAGCTCGCCAGCCTAGTCTGCCCCGGAGGAGGACCCGAACCTACTGGCGCGAGGGAGGCACTGAAGCGAGACCCTCCCCTCCCCAGAGACCGCTCGAGGTGACGCCCCTTGGCCTCAGTGGGCGCTTCCGGCCGTTTTCGATGTGGCAGCCTCCAGCAGCCAGCAAAATGATGAGGCAGGTACAATCTATCTAGTACGCAGACCCCAGGCTCCCCATCCCTTCCCACCTCCCCTCGGACCGGCGGCCTCATTCCGCGGCGGGTTCGGCCTGATTTGGTAGGTGCAGTGCACTTCATACTTCTTGCTGTCTGACCAAATGCTCCAAGAAGTCAAAGGAATTCGGATATATATATATATATAAACCTGGACCCCAGCGGAAACATAGCATGTGCTGCTTAAGGCAGGGCGCGGGGAGAAGTGATGCCTACTGACTCCCCTCCCCCAATGTCGCGCGAGTCCAGAGGTCCTGGCAAGAGATGGGGTGAGGGGTCGCGGAGATGGCACAGAGGACGAAGTAGGGGGACATGGAGATAAGGATCCCCACGCCACGACCCGGGGACTGGAGGGCAAAACACTGAGACTCTGGGTTAACTCATTGACCCTTAAGTGACATTTTCCAGGGCCCCACCACTTCTCTTGATGGCAAATGGGCCGAAGCAAGATGACTTAAGTTGGTAAATTTAGAGACCGAGCTCGCCGCAAGCGGGGTCTAATGGACAGCTAAAATTATCTCGAAATAAGAGATTTTTGCCCCCTGTCCTTCCATTCCTCGAATAATCGCCGGGTGGGGAAGTGGACGTCACTGCTTTCGGAGCGCTTAGAAAAGTCGGTCTGGCGCTGGCCTTCCCGCGCGGTCCCTGCCTGCAGACCGGTGGGTGCTGAAAGGGCGCAAGGCTGCAGGGGCAGACCCTCGTTTGGATGGAAGGGGCTTGGGAGGAGCTGAAGGCTTCGTGGAGTGGGAGCCTCCGATTCATCACCCCACCCTTCCAAGCTCAGGCTCGCACAAACACACACAGGCGCACACACAACCGCCCGTCCCTAGGTCCCCTGACTCCCACCCCACACCTCTCTGGCTTGATCCCCTTGCACCGACGGCTGCGCCCTAGGAGCTGGTCCCGGAGCGGCGAGCACCCTGGGGAGCGGTACCCGGGGCACGCTCTGGTGGCGGGGAGGGTGTACGACCCGCCGGTGGACTTGGTAGCTGGTGGGAAGAGGTCTGGAACCGGAAGGTTCTGAGAGGTTTGCACATTAGACCCCCCAGCCGCCTTGGGGAAAGGGGCAAGAAAGAACCTTCCGCTTTGTAAAGAAAAACCTTAAATAAAAAGCAAAAAAGATCGAAAAGAATTTTTTCAAGAAAAGGAACAAATAAGACAGGCTGACGGCATGAACGTGTAAAGTGCAGTGAAAAGTTGAATATCTCGTTTTTGTTTTTTTCCTGGATCTCTAAAAGGGAGATCGAGGGGGCAAACCGAAGCATACATTCCTTGGAAGTCGGGGGTATTTTTCTTTAAGAGCGGCTATGGGAAATGACCCGGTCCCCTCACTGGCCCCCGACCCCAGCCGGAGGGGCGCTGGGGCGCAGGCGTGCGCGGCGAAGGGGTTAAGGCGCTGAGCGCGGAGCCATCTGGCCGGGTTGGCTGGTTATAACCGCGCAGATTATGTTCGCGGGACTCAGAGTTGAAGGCTCCTCTCCCTACCGAGCAGCTCCGCGCGCGGCCCCCGAGAGAGCCCGGCGCAACTACTTTCTTCCCTCGCTTTTCTTTCTCCTGCTCTTTTTGTCCCCTGCTGGGGGGTGGCGGCGGCGGAGTGGGGGAGACTTTGGATGACCGAGCTCGCGTCCACCTTTCTCTTCATGTCGACGTCCCTGGAAACAGTCACACGGATGCCATGGTTACTTCTGCCACGGTAAGGGGAGGCGGGCGCGCTGGGTGGGCAGGTTCCGGGGCCCGGGGGCCCGGTAGGGGGATGGACTGGGGGACCCGCGCGGGGCCCCGGCTCCGCACCCCGCCCCCACCCCATCGCGCTGCGCACCCGCACTTTTCCTGGCTCTTGTCTTCCCGAAGTTTACGCCGGGATCTGCCCAGGCCATGGAGAGATCACAGCTACCCCTGCGCGCACACAGATACACACACACTCACACACACACACTCTCACTCACCCTTCCCCACCTCGTCTCTCCCGTCCCTCGGCTGCCGCGGGAGAAACCGCCCTATATCTGGGAAAGTGATCAGGTTTAAGGGACCAGGATTGGAAATGGGGGGCGGAGGCGAGGGGAAAGGGAGACGACGGAAGGGCAAGGAAGGGCTTCGGCAGAACCGCCAGCCCCTCATCATCACACCCGTCTGTTCGCGCAGAGGAGCTCCCCGCGCACCCCGTAACAAAGAGGACTGCAGGCGGATCCGGGGAGGCAAGGGAGCCGCCGCCGCTCCCCGCACGAGCCCCCGGCGCCGGGTTCGCCGCGGCGCAGGGCTCTCGACTCTCCTCCCCCTCTGGGGCCCGGCAGGACTGGGGGAGGGGATGTGGAGCTCCAGACCTGGAGAGACGCTTCCCAGTTTGGGGAGTCGAGAGTCCTCGCGGCGCGGCTACCTGCCGGAGTCCCCCTACCTCCGCTCAGAGCTTCCTGAGAAAGCTCAGAGCACACCGGGGCTCGTGCAGGCCGGTGGCCACCCCACCCTGGGTCTCTGCGCCGCCGGTGTCGGAGCTGCGTGCGCGGCCCGCGCCTCTGAGTCCCCGGCGGGGAGCGGCGGGCACGGGGGGCCTGGCGATCACCGGGGAGTCCCTCCGGTTCCTCCGGGCCAGCTCTAGGAATCGGAGGTGCGGGGAGGCTGGGAGGCCCGGGGCGCGACTCATATAGGTCGGACTTCAGAGCCCCTCCACCCCCCACCCCGCCGAGGACCAAAGTGCTCCGTGGTCCGAGAGCTCCAGGTCACACTCCGAAGGAAATTTGGGAAGTTTGGGAGTTGAAGGTTCGGGAAAGGAGGGGCTGGGTGGGGGAGGGGACTGTCTTGGTGGCTTTCGGGCGCGAGGGGGTGCGCGGAGGAGACCCTGCTTCTTTGGGGGAGTTGGGCGGCTGCGTTCCTCAAAGGCACCGAGACCGGCGCGCCGAACCGGGTGGCGGCTGCTGACTAGTTAGGATCCCTCTCGCAGGATCCCTGGTTGGGAGCTTCCAGGTGCAGGAAACTCCGAACTAGGCCGCCTGGTCTAGACCTCTGGCGGCAGGTTCAGAGGTCTGAGTGCAGGCGGCTGCCCGAAAGCAGCCAGAGCGCAGGGCTCCGAGCTGGAGAGCTGGCGACTGAGCGCTTTGGACTTGTTTATGTGCGTGATGAGCAGGGGGCGGGAGCTCGAGGGTGGGGTGGGGTGGGGGCGGGCTAAAAGGGGTGGGTGTCACCCCAGGACTCAGCCGCTTACCGACTGTGCTGGGAGACCTGCTTTTTACTGAAGAGATACCCCCTCCCACCCTGCAGAACCTAGAGCCGAGTCTCAACCCACCTTTCCAAACGTCAGGATGGAGAAAGTTGTAACGCGAGGGAACTTTGCGGTCGGTTCTGTTTTCCCAGCGCTCAAAAATCATCCGACGTCCTCCGCCTGCCCCCACTTAACGCCCCCCCCCACACACACACACAAAAAGAAGGTGGGAGGGGGTGTAGGATTCAGGGGAGAAAATCCAAAGGCCTCTGCATTGGCCTTTAACGCTCAGACCTGGGTATGGAGTTAGAAGAGGGGGAGATGGTAGGAAAGGGGGCTCTGAATAGTGTTGGGGGACAGGAGGAAGTCTGCTTGGCTGCAGTAGGAGCGCGCGCGGGTTTGTGCAGCTGTGGACTGTTTTGTAGCTCTAAGTGGAGGGTTTGGCTCTGAGCTAACAGGATCTGTGTCCTGTGGAGGGCCATCGGGGACCCCTGGGCGCTGTTTGGTCAGGGAAGGAGGTTGTTTGGAAAATCAGAGTGCTGGCGCTCCCTCTGCTGAGTGTGCAGGTGGAGATATTTGTTTCTGAGGGTCTCTTTCACGGGCGCACGGCTGCCAAGCAGCAGGTGAGAGCATGTGGGCACATAGGTGTACTAATGAGAAATCTGTGCCCGCTAAGAGTGTCAGAGCAGGAGAGGTACGGTGTATTACAGCAGATGGCTTGTGCGTGCCTGCGCAGACACACGGAGTGGGTGTGGCGTGGAAGGGCGGCCGTGGGAGGTGGGACGTGTGTGGAAGGTTGGGCTAGGCGCTTTCCGATTACCAAAGGGACGGGGGCGGTTATTATCTGCAAAGATCAGAGTGTGAACTTTGTGAATGAGTCCTGGGGAATTTGGCTGGAATGGCACTGGGGTCTGTGGGGAACAGGAAAGCGTGGGTTCAGACACTTATTCTAGAGAGATGGGGCATCTGCAGAAAAAGATGCTGGAGTGGTTTTTGCTTTCTCCTCCTCTGCATCCCCTACCCCAGAGAGGAGGGGACCAGAGAAGGCTTAAGGTGAGGGATGCACATTTAAGGGGAAAAGTCTTCTGTGTGTTGGCACTGGTGGGGATGTGCGTGCAAGATTGGAGTGAGCGGAGAAATGTGCTTTGCATGCCTAGTGGTGGGGATGCATGTGCAAGATTGGAGTGAGCAGAGAAATGTGCTTTGCATGCCTAGTGGTGGGGATGCATGTTGTATGATGGTTATAATGGGTTTTTCAATTTAATAAAGGAAGTCACCACCACCAATTATTATTGATCATCAATTAAAATGTGTGAAATGCCTGCTGGAGGCTCAGCCCATTCCTGGGCTCTAGGGTATGGCATGGTGCTCTAGAAAAATTCTTCCCAGGGCTCAGCCAAATCCTGCAGTTTTGCCAGGAGGAACCAGGAGAGCTCGGTGCTAGAGGTTTCTTTAAGAACTGTAATTCAGTTTCAAGAGATGTTTATGGATCTTGGAGGCCAAAGGGAAGCTGACTTGAAATATATCTGTGGTTTTGTAGAAAGATAGGGATGATGGATAGTTTTGTGTGTTAAGGAGGGAGCTGAGGGCTGTTACTGTTTCTTGCAGTGAGTGTAGGCTGGGAATGGGAGGGGGCAGCAAGCCGGGTCAGAATGCTGGTCCTGATACACCTGAGGGTGGAGTTTCTGAGAGCACAGCAGGGATGAAGCTTCCTGTGTAGGGCTGCATAAGGGTGAGGCAGTGATCAGGAGGAAGATGCAAGGAAGATGCAGCTTGGGAGTGTTAGTCTTTGATGACTTCTGAGCTGAGTGGAAAGCTGATGTGTGTGCACGTGTTTGTGCACACATACACTGCAGAGTTGGAGTGAAGAACCTGGGAGGAGGCTAGCCTAAAGGAGCAGAGGGGTGTATGTTCCGGCTCTGGTTGGGGTGGTGGGATGTATGTTTTTGCAAGAATTCTCTGGGGCCGAGGAAGGATGCAAATTGTCTTGGACGCTCAGATGTGTATCGTGTGGGTCAAAGTTTGAAAGGTACAGTTAAAAGAAGGGTTGTAGGCTTTTGGAAGCATTTGGGGAGGGAGGGAAGTGTGATGTTGGTTGGGTTCATATCAGCAGAACCTGGGGAGGTAACTGGGATGGAGCACAGGGAGGAGGGGTGTGCTCTGGCTGCATACCTGCTGACCTAGAACCTCCTTTTTAAGGCCTGTTGCTGAAAGAGCATAAACAAACCTCTTGTATTTGACTCAAGACATTTTTGAATTCCTGAAATGACAGGTGTGCCATTTTGAGGTTCTACCTTATCTGTAGAGGAAATTCCTCTTTGGAAGAGGGTTGATACAGGGTCTGAGCCTTGGGCAAAGGCTCTCACAGCGGTGAGAGGATGGTGTGGTGGAGATGGAAGGCTTCCCATTGGGAATGCCTCGGTTCCAATCCAGTTCTGCCACTTTGGAGCAGGGTGATTTCAGGAAACTTCTCTAATCTCTCTGATCCTTTCTTATTTCTCTTTGTGTAAAATGATATTGCCTGCTATGACTCAATGAGAGGAAAGTTCACTCTGCTCCGACCCGCCCCCCCAGTCAAACCTTGGTGTGTTTAGCAGTACAGAGCCTTACTTGGAGATGACATGAGTTTGAATACAGGTGCTAGCATGGATGTGAACCATTGCAGAGACGGGTCCTGAACCTCTTTCTCTTTACAGTACATGTTATGTCCACTGATTATCTGCTGCTCATCCACTGTGCAAACAGAACTTTTGTGGCCGCCTCAGCTTACTCATCCGTAAAATGGAGATAGCCAAGCCTACAAGATTATTGATGGAGGGCTGTATTCCTGAAAGGTCTTTGGAGGATTCAGAAGAAAGGTGGTCCACAAATCAACGTTACTAATGATCTGAGACAGACGTTTTCCTTTGCTGCGGACCATGACGCCAAAAGAAATGCGATTTTGAGAACAGAGAAAGTAGTTATTGTTTTTTGGCATGTTAGAATTAAAGAGGAGCAAAGTCCAGGCATCCTGGGTTGCCATGAAGGGCTGTTTTCCTCTGGGCTGTGGATCCTGGGGGGCACAGGCTGTGGATCTGTGATATGGCAGATACCCAGTGCAGCAAGTTGGTGTGGCCCACTTTCCCCAGAGACAAAAATGGAGACCAAAGAGGGGCCAGAAAACCCACTCAAGCCTCCGAGTCCTCCCAGAAGTCAGCACACGCTGTCAACTGCTGGCGCAGAGTCAGGCTCCCATCCTTGAGTTCAGTGGCCATAAATAGTCAGGAGCTAAGCTATTTCCATGAGGCACTAAACCAATTCCGTTGCTTTTCTTGGCGAGATTGGGCCAATTAAGTTGATTGGAAGAGGTCACTGCTGATGGCGCTCACATTCCCCAGGCGGGACAGGCCAGCAGAGTTTAATTACATAACATTTCCCATCTCTGCAGCCCCCCTCCCCAGTGGATCAGATGTGCAGGCCTCCCCCTCGGCCCCTCCATCCAGGAGGGCTAATGGAGCAGG